ATAGATAATGGAGATTTTAAAACAAGTTTTAAATACCATGGAATGCAACATCAAATTTTCATCATAAAAGTAATGAAATTTTCAAATATATTTTTCTCGAAAATATGTAGTGCATGTAGTGAGTTTTTTAATTTAACACAACTAGAGAAATTTTGATTATTTATACATAAAAACAGTTTTTATGGTTTGCATACATCGAAATATTGAAACCGCGTTAACATTGTTCTAATGGTTAGACATAAAGATATGATTCCAATTCGTAAACAGTATGTGCAAGGAAAAAGGTTTCTCACTAACATTATTCATTTGTCTCAATATAAATTTATGTTTATATTTTTGGGTTGTATCTTTTCGAAAATAACCGTTTAAAAGTTATTTTTAAAGATTGCGTCTTATCGATATAATCACTTTTGAAAGGTTGCGTTTTTCCATTATAACCACTTTATGATTATTCTAAGGGTTGTATCTTTTCGATATAATCGTTTTTTCAAGAGTTGCGTCTTTCCGATATAAAACCGTTTTATGGTTATTTTTCCAGAGTTGGATATTTTCGGAAATAAGGTTTGCTTATATATTTTTGTTCTTTACTCATTTTTCCGTTGAACGTCAGTAACCAGTTTCATCATCATTTTCTCAATCTTACCACAATTCGACCTTGGAGAACGTCACTCCCGGGGCCGGAGTCGCTCATCTCATCGTCGTCGAGGATGACAATAACAACAAACAACAATGTCTTGATTTAGCCTAGGTTGGTGGAGTATCAGAACGCTCTGGTGGACAAGTCGGAGGAGACGTCGTTGGTCGTCGTTCACGTAGCAGACCATCGGGATCTAAAAACAAACCTAAACCTTCGATTGATCACTTGTATTTAGATGCTGAATTTAAAATGATACCAAGAAGTAGCATTAACATTACTCCAAATAAGTTGAAACCGTAAGTGTTATGACATTTACACAATCTATCAGTGTTTACTTTATTAATACTCTTTAACATTCTTAGACATGAAAAACTGTTTGCGTTAAATTTAATATGAAAGAAAGGACGACCATGTATATAGGAATCAATTAATAACTTAATGCAATATGGAGATTGTAAAACTTTGTGTATCGTTATTAATTTATTAGTAGAAATCAAAGAGAAAGACATTGATAGTAAATGTTATTTTGTACTTAATTTGTTGCAAACAATATCTAAACTATTTTCTTCCTCATTACATATATTTCGTAAGTTTGATTTTTGTTTAACTTGAGAAATGATAATAACCATGTTTAAAATCCATTAGAGATGATTATAGGTTTACGTTCACATGCATGCATGTATGTCGAAAGTAAATTATATCTTTGGTTGTGTTGACAACAATTTTTCTTTTTTTAAATATCGTAGGAGGTTCTTTACCTCGGTGATTTGCGAGGTCCGAGTCC